GTCTATTCCCTAAAGACCTAAAAAGAGCATGCTACAGGGACACTGCTACATCGATGTTCATAGCAGCACAATTCACAATAGCAAGACTGTGGAACCAACCTAGATGCCCTTCAATAGACGAATGGATAAAAAAAATGTGGCAGTTATACACAATGGAGTATTACTCTGCATTAGAAAATGACAAAGTCATAGAATTTGCAGGGAAATGGATGGCATTAGAACAGATTATGCTAAGTGAAGCTAGCCAATCCCTAAAAAACAAATGCCAAATATTTTCTTTGATATAAGGAGAGTAACTAAGAACAGAGTTGGGAGGAAGAGCATGAGAAGAAAATTAACATTAAACAGGGGTGAGAGGTGGGAGGGAAAAGTAAAGAGAAGGGAAATTGCATGGAAATGGAAGGAGACCCTCATGGTTATACAAAATTACATACAAGAGGAAGTGAGGGGAAAGGGGAAAAAAACAAGGGGGAGGAATGATTTACAGTAGATGGAGTAGAGAGAGAAGATGGGAGGGGAGGGGATGGGGGATAGTAGAGGATAGTAAAGGCAGCAGAATACAACAGACACTAGTATAGCAATATGTAAATCAGTGGATGTGTAACCGATGTGATGCTGCAATCTGTATCCGGGGTAAAAAATGGGAGTTCATAACCCACTTGAATCAAAGTGTGAAATATGATTTGTCAAGAACTATGTAATGTTTTGAACAACCAACAATAAAAATTAAAGAAAAAAAAAAAGAAATATTCTAAAGATCTCAACATAGTAAATCAGTTAAATAACTTTTGTAGAATGAAATGTTAGGGTGCAATTTGAACTGATATTAAACAAAAGTAATTGATCATAAGTGAAATATATTCAAAGTATTAGTACAATGAAAAAAAATTTTTAAAAAGCATGTGAATAGAAGTGCTATGAACCCAATATATTTATGATGTTTTAAATTCCATAGGAAAAAAAGTTGTTATAATAAGGGAAAAATATTTTATTTTCTCTAGCTGTTAAGATTTATTATTATTTTATATATAAATATGAATGTTTATATATTTGTGTATACTTTCCTACATTTTGATGATTTCAAAGTAAATTTTATTATACAAACACAATTTTTTCTTTATGAAGACATATTTTAGAGAAAAATGAATAAAGAGTACTTTGTTAAGAAATCTCATACCTTTTCTGTAAGCATAAATTAAATTTTTGTTATTTATTTCTATATTTAAACCCCAAAGGCAGAATTGTTTATTTACCTGGAGGACATTGTAAAGAATGAGTACTTGGAAACTCTGAGTCGATATCCCTGTTGAAACACCTCCTACCACAGCCACCAGCTTGTTTCTCTTCTCAGACCTACAGTCATAATTAGGGACTGGAGGACTCTTTCCTGAAAGTAAAGACATAGAACTCTCTATGGCCTTTTTCTCAATAAAGTCAACATTGAAGAGATGGAATCCCAGAGACATATTGAACAACATATTCAGGCCCTTGTTGATTTTCTCTACAGCAAAAACCATGGCCAGCAGGCACTGATAATGCTTAGTAAGATCCCTAGAAATAAAAGGTGAAAAGACAATCTCAAAAATTTTGTTTTCTAAGAAAGATGAGTTATAAAAGAATGCACATGATAACCCCCCAAATAAATAAGATATCTTATTCTGAAAACATTCAGAAATTTGGTGCCTCAAAAAAATCAGACTGACAGTCTAATGATTTACAGTCAAATTTATAATATTGACTTTTTAAGGCATCTTAAGACTGAGAAAATGTCAGGGAATGAAATAAATAGAAAATGGAAGGCATGGGGCTAGGGTTGTGGCTCAGTGGTAGATTGCTTGCCTAGCACGTACAAGGCCCTGGGTTAGATCCTCAGCACCACATAAAAATAAATAAATGAAAAATAAAGGTATTGTGTTCAACTACAATTAAAAAATAAATATTAAAAAAGAAAATGGCAGGCATTAAATTAGAATTTAGTTACCCTGCCTTGGATAACATGTTGTGATTCAGAAAATAATATTTTGCTAGATTAAATAGGGGAATACACCACAGTAGTGTCAAAGAAATCAATTCAATTATATCAATGCATATAAGTTGAAAGTTCTCAACATCATATCCTGCACCTTTATATAAAGAAAAATGATCCTCCCTATAGAGAATTTATACACTTAGGAAAATGGATACACTTACACATAAACATAATCAGGCATATAGAATTTATCTGTAACGCCAAATTTACTTTTGGTGTCACCAGCCATCACTCTCAGGGAAAAGAGTCCACCAATAATGAAATCCCCATCTTGATAGTAGCTAGGAGAAGCAGATAAATATAGTGAAAGAATAGAATCTGGTTCCTGTGATGAAAAGAGGACAGCATCCAGCAGAGGAAAAACAAAAGATAATTTCATATCAACATTGATAACATGAAGATATTAGTAAAGTTTTAAAACTCAGAAATAAAATCTGTTCAGAAATTTGTCAATCGAGGCTGAGAGTATTTGAATAGATTGTGATGAAAACATGCCTCTCTAATTAATGTGTGACAAATTTATAAAGGAAGTCAATTAATTTGTCTTGGCTTAAGGCAAAATGGTAATGTGTAAGCATTCCTTTGTTTTCCAGGAGTATGTTCGAATTACATCTGCTTAGCCCCAATTCACATCCCTTTCATTGAATTAGTGCAAGTCCCTAAGGGGTCACAAATGTCTTAACTTTGCAGATGGTGTCCTGATTCTCAGAACAAAAACATTTGATTAAAAACAACTTTAAGCCATAACAAACATGCAAGAATTTTATTAACTTGGTGGGTTTAGGGTAACTAGAGATAACAGATGTAAAACAAACAATACACTGGAATTATGTTGCCATTAGATAAGAAGCTTTGTCAAAACGATGTCTTCATTATTATCAAACAATTAAATACTTAATGGGCTACCAAGTAACACATATTAGGAAAGGGGGTATCAAAGGTATAGTATAGTCAAGTAAAGATGCTTCGTTGGTATTTGGTTATTTAACACTTGCATAAACTCAGAGGAAGGAGGAATTATTCAGTACACATTTCTACAAAAACAAGACGAAGCATTTTCTTTAGACAATATCATTTTTAATTATTTCACAGAGGCATTTATTTAAGTGATGGATTTTTAGCTTTTAAATTGTACTTACTTACTATGTACAATACAGTACTTTGCTATGTCTACCCCATGGATTGATGGACTTTTCAACTCTTACTATAGCATTTTCTCAAGCAGGGAAATTATTTCAAAATTATTTAATTCACAGAGAAGAAATAGAGAGAATGTTAACAGCTAAGAAGTGTCTATGATTTGTATGTGTAACCATAAACTCAAATGTTTGGAAATAATGACAGTGATTGTATTTCAAATAAACTTAAATCCATTTTCAAATCTCATCCACTGGCTAGCAGGAAACCTCATTTCATGTACTACCAGAAATAAGGTAATGACCCTGCAGAATTACATACATATTTCATTGTTTAGAATATTAAGAAGAGCACACCTCATCTTTTTTTTTTTTTTTTATCTTGGCTTTTGCCAATCATCATCCAAACTAGGTGCTTGCTGATCTCTGAAGGATGGCTCTGCTGATTGTGATTCAAATTCCAGTAGAAGCATCTGTTGATGCTGACATTTCCACTACCAAAACTCCAGCTTTTCCAAGTTCACCCCCAAGTTTCCAGGGCTACATGTTAAAGTGTGGACAAGTGATAACACACTCAGCACTTTATTGATGCAGAAAGAGTATCTACTATGTTCTCAAGTGTATTCATGTTCTTGACACTTCTCAGAAATTTGATATCTTGGCTATGAGAGTAAAATGTGTATAGTCATATATGTAAATTTAGTAAACAAAACTATCAATGGTGAAAAATTAGTTCATAGGTGCTCTTGAAATAATTTCAAAATTACTTGATGATCTCAAATGATCCTTCTTATAGTTTAAATGTTTACTTCTAATTCTGCCACCAAATCATCTTTCTGATCATATTAATAGCCATAAGAAATACTGAACACCTTGTAATAAAAATTTCAATCCTTTGTATGTTCCCATAGAGATAAAAAATTAATATTAATATTGTCACTGTTTAATCGCAGTGAACTTACAGAAAAAAAAAAAAAAAACTCACTGTTTTCTATGTGTGTGTTTATTTTGCTTCCCTTGAGGATATTTTAATTCTTTAAGTGTTACAGTGGTCTACTTCATGCTTTGAATATATAGCTCTTGCTGCTCTGCTGCTGCCATATATTTTTAAAATGGACAAATTTCTTTCTCTTCCTTTCCTTCTTCATTTCACTTCACTTCTCTAATATCTCTCCATCCCAATCTTCCCCTCCTTAATCTCAAGGGAAACAGGAATACTTTTCTTCCCCATCCTAGGCAGAGTTTATCTGTCCTTGAGCACCTACCTACCACAGGAACAGGAACGAGTAATTCAAACTTTGGGGATGGCACCAGAAGATCTAAGAAATGACCATCTCCCAAATTAACAAGTGAATTGCAACAGAGAACACCTGGGATTTAGCCTTTGAATCATCTCTTTAAAAACCCCTTGCCCCCAACCTCATGGGCAGAATCACAGACTCTGGAACAGGAGTCCCATGTGTTTCTCTTTTGTTAGGAGAAGTTTTTTAGTTTTGCTTTTTCTCAAAACCGTGTTCTTATTATTGGATTGGCATCAGAGCAAGGGCCTAACTTTTGGTAATATAATGATAGATTGTACAATTTATAATAGAGATGAGTATCCCTAAGATTACACTAATTTGTATGGAGTAACTATAATTAGTATATAGATTATAACATGATATTCTTTGTCCTCATAAGATCTATATTTTATTTTAAATACTGTATTAGCAGAGATGAATGGGGTAATTACTTCCTAATGTACTATATAGAAACAAATATTGTGTGATCTTAACTAGGTAATTCACATAACTCACTGCTAGATAATTTCTCTTTTTATTAGTCAAAAGCTCTTTGCTAATAATACACATATTAAATATGTGCATATCCCATTGTCATATACATGTATGACAATATGTTATTATATTGATGGAAAACTATATCAAACTAATATAAGGAAGAAGTATTACATTCTAATAGCTAATTGAAATTGCTTCTCTTGATATTCAAAACAATTTCTCGTAATATAGTCTACAATAAGGAGCTACAATTCCCAAGTATATCAGGGTAATATAATTAAAATATGCATTATTCTTTGAAGCCTCTGAAACTGTGTGATGTCACATTTTGAGTGGAATTTCAAAGAAGTCATGTTACATGAGGTTGTTGAAATTAGGTAGACTTATTAAATAACCTACTGCTTAACACTTTCATGAAAGTGTAAGGGGACAGATAGATGGGAATGGTGGGAACACAAGGTTAAGAGAATAATTCTATAAAATGAGCCCACTGTGCTAACCCTCACTAACATACATGCATTCTTTGCCTACAGCAATCTGCTTGCAGCACCACTTTGCTTAAGCACCAGCGAAGGTCAGTGAGTGAGTATATACAATTATTTTTTTCTAAACTCTTTTAAAAATTGTATTTATTCTAAATCATTATACATGACAGCATAATGCATTTCAATTCATTGTACACATATGGGGCACAACTCTTAATTTCTCTGGTTGTACACAATGTAGAGTCACACCATTAGTGCAATCATACCTGCATCTTTCCTACCCCTATGCCTCCTCCCCTTCCTTCATTCCCCTCTGCCCAATCTAAAGTTCCTCCATTCTTCCCATGGCCCCCACCCCATAAATGGATCAGCATCCACATATCAGAGAAAACATTTGTCCTTGGGTTTTTTGGGAATGGCTTATTTGATGTAGCATGACATTCTCAAACTCCATCCATTTACCTGCAAATGCCATAGTTTTATTTTCTTTTAATGCTGAGTTATATTCAATTTTGTATATTTGTATTTTTAATTTCCTTATCTTTATTCTGGCTTCCTTAGATTTTTTTTTTAAAAAAGGATAAAAACAAAACAGCATCTATTTTTTTTTATTTAATTGAATATATTTCTGAGGCCATGTTAGCTTTTTTAAATTATATTAAATTAGTTGAATAATTTTGAAAATTTCAGTGCTACATGATATAACTTTGTCACTTCAATTCATTCAGTTTTTAAACCTTAAAGATTAAGGTTTTCATAGAATTTGGTGAAAGGAAAGTGACCACAACACTCGGAGCGACCAAGAGATCTTTATTACAGCAGTGCAAAAGAGAAGAGACAGAGAGAGAGAGAGAGAGAGAGAGAGAGAGAGAGAGAGAGAGAGAGAAGAAAAAGCAAGGGAGAGCAAAAGCAAGAAAAGAAAGAGAGAGCAAGAACAAGAGAGAGAGAGAGAGAGAGAGAGAGAGAGAGAGCAAGAGAGCAAGAGCAAGAGAGAAGGGCCCAGCAGGAGGGAGTTTTTATAGCCAAAATCTAATGGGGCCTCTGGGTCTGCAAGCTGCTTTGTTGGTGTACAATGATTGGATCACATAGTAGTTGCTAAGGGTGTCATCTTCTGCCTTCAGGCAGATGGGGCAGGGGTCAGATGTGGGTTTCTGTTGCACCAGACTGGTAGGGGTCGAGTGTTCAGCCTTGAGTTGGGTTGAGTATTCAGACTTGACACAAACAGATGATAAAGGATCAGACAGAGTGGGGCTTGAGTTTGTGGGTTATCCTGCAGCTAACATTCATTCATCCTACCCTGTAGACAACATAGTTCAGCCTGTCCTGCACCTAACATTTGGGATCTGGGGAAGACAGGTTAGTATAACTTTCATTTGCAGATCAAGACTTGGAGGTCAAGAGAAAGTTAAACAATTTATACAAAATTAAGCAGCTCATTAGTGGCAGTGTCAGAAGTGGAAAATCCACACCTGGTTTTCTGTCTGTTGTACTTCCTATAACACGACTGCATCTCCTTTTAAGTGTCATTTATGTCCAAATGACATCAGCATTTCATAATTTTTATATTATATACATTATTTCTCTCTTTCCCTCCCTGCAGTGTTTGTACTTGGAACCCCCACAAAAGGAAATCTTCCAATAAAATTGAGAAACAGTCTCCCTCCTTCAATGTCCCTGAAGGTCCCTCAAAATTTTTCCAGTGGATTGGGCAATAAAAGTCCCTGGGTTTTATTTTCAGTTCTTCTACTGATTTGGTGTACAACTTTGGGGATATTTGCCCCTTGGGCCCTCCTAATGTGTTGAATTCTAGCTAGAGACAGACTCTGTGAAAGAGCCTTATCTAAGATAATCAAAACGAGATGAGTAGGATCATTTAGGACAT